TACAGCTTGTACCATAGCTCAGCCTGGCGCATGTGGAGTAGGCATCTATTTCCTTGCTGTGGGTTACCTGCTGGCTGTACACTGACAAGTATGAAGAGAAATCACAATCAGATTATTTTTTTAAAACGTCATTCTCCTGAGCTTTTTTACAGCATCTTAATTAAACCAGGAAAGAGAGAAATGGGCTTAATATAAAACTACAGAAAGCATTCAGCATTGCTAATGGTGTATAAATATGTAAACTGTACATTAGTTAAAACCTATTGTGATGATCATTTGATACATTAAGTGACATATATAACAGTGTCTTCTTTTGCTTAAGTTGAACAATAAATAGAACTATTCATTGCTTCAAATTGTAGACGGTTTGTCAACTACCATTTCTCTGTTTCTTGCAGCCAGAGCCTTTCTTCTAATCAGAACAGGTACCTGTAACCAGTTATACAGGCAGAAAAAGGTATTTGACAGACTTCATTGGCATGCGGGGCAAGTGAAGCATCTTCTCTTACCATGTGATTACCCTGAAGGGCAGCGTTACTGCTCACAGGTAGCTGGGGAGCTAAGTAGATGCTAGCTGTAGCTGTGTTTTGTCTGCATGCTATTTGGATTGGCTCGCTTCCGACTCTTAGTTTGGAGAATACAAAGCTTAAAATACACAACCAGCTACAGGCTAGAAGCAGTTGAACTTGGAGTAGCCAGCTGTAGGCAGTGTTCTCGCAAACAAGTGATGTAAATGTGCCTTTCTCTATTTTTAGAAACTTAAATTTTGTAATCTTCAGTAACATTCACTTGTTCTAAGCAGCTTCTACTTCTTCAGTTAATTTTTTTGGCTCCGAGTTATGTTCTCACTTCAGTATTTCTTTTCAGTAACATTGGCTCTGTAACATTAAGGTCTTGGGCAACAGTATCCAGCATGGTCCATTGGAGACACAGCCACAATGCAATCAGGTCAGTCTAGTTCTAGCAGCAGGTGGTGATAAGGACTCAGCCATATGTTTTGCTGGAACAAGGACGTTGTAAATCCCTTCCTAGTTTAACTTTCTCCTACTGCAAACCCAGATGGACAGTATGAACAGTTTGTTGTGGCAACACAAGTATTTCTCTTCCTGGTGGAGAACTTTACTTATCCACTGTATTCTATTCAGTGTGGTATCAAAAAAAAAAAAAAAAAAAGTAAGTGAGCACTGAACCAGTAACATATACTGCACCTGGCCTAGTAATACATTTTTAACCTTACTTGTTATAGCCTATATTTATCTACTAGCTTGTGTGTGTATGGGGGGGAGGAGAATATCTTGTTTCATTTAAGCCAAATATTGAAATCTTTTCTACTTACTGCTGATCCATAGGACATACTAACTGGCAAGAATTTTTTTTCTTGCTTCTGACTGCTCTGCAACCATCAGCTGTGCAAGCATCAGCTGCTCTCTACCATTCAGACTTGTGTACTTTTCACCAAAATTTGTCTGATTAAAGGTTGTCCTTTTGTTAGTAATTGTTTAGCCATGTACACAACTGGAGACAAGATTTAGGTAAAACAAATCTGGGAATACTTTTGCTTTAGCTTGTTGTATAGCGAGCTGTCAAGTGCAGCATAATGCAGAACTCAAAGGCACTTAACAAACAGAGTTCCTTCGAATTGGGGAGTCACCTTCCAGGTGGTAACAGCTGTCAGCCTGAGAGGAGAGTTTGAAACTCTGAGACAGCCAGGGACAGCAGCCTTGTATCAAAAGCAGGAGGCCAAAAAAAAAGGACTTGTTCAATCAACAGGAAGCATAGCACATAGTGTTCAAAAGTTTCCCCAACAATGTTTCTTTACTGATGTGTCTGTCTTACTGATGAGGTAATCAGCACCTTGAAAAGTGATTCCAGTGTGCTTTAGATATCCTCAAGTACTGTAGTGCCATAGTTGTAACTGTTTACCATTAACAGCTAGCGTGTCGTTTTCAGTGGGGATTACTGACTGTGCTCAACATTGTTTCTGGAGCATTTCCAGGTTGAATGTGAATTATATCCCATTCACACTGTGTGTTTATGGAAAATGTGCCATTAAAGTGTCTCCTTTCCTTAGAAAATGAAACTCCTCTTGTCCTTCTGCAGGCTTTCGGAGTATCCTTAGTGTAAATCCTTTGAACGTGGAATGCAGAGTATTTTAGCTTGCCCTGGGGAAAACAGCCTAAAGCTAATGGAAGTGTTCCCACTAGTTAACACCTCTACCAAAACTTAGCATCTAAATCCATAGAGGACCTGCCATTCAATTGTAAAGGGCCTTGGCACCCAACAGCTGCTAATTTTTATGTCAGATTGCATGTGTCTCCTCTCTGTGGTTAGAGTCCATCCTAGCAATGGCAACCTTTGGCATTCCAGGTTGCTTGTGTGTTGTTTTTTTTTTTTTTTTTTTTTACAAAGAATGTCCCTGTGTTTACTGCAACTCTGAGCCATCTCACGTATTTAAAGCTGCTTAGAAAGGAAGGTAAGTTCTGAAAAAGATGAAGGGACAGAGTGAGAGTTAAAAAAGACTCTTATGAGAACAAAGAAGAACAACTGCTTGCACACGATTTTAGCTGCTGTGTTCCAGTGACTGGCTTCTAGTACGTGAAGTCATCTACCCTTCTTGCCTCGCTCGTGGCTTCATAAAGTACTTGTGTCACTGTCCACAGGCTGTTTCCAAGTGTGGGTGGGAAGCAGGCATCTCCTTCTCAGGAAAATAGTAAACAACAGGTATGAAAGTGAATGGACAATTACTAACTCTAAAGAATTCAAGAGATCCGCAGTTGCTATTTTCTTGAGTCACTGTATGTAAGCATCCATGTTACTCAAGCACAGGTAAGAAGTGAAAATAATTGTTGCAGACTGCAAATGAATTTCAAATCTTGTTTTTCAGAGTTAAAGTTCAAACTGCATTCTCAGGGTAGGAAGGAAAAGATGAACTTTGGTCCCACTCAACCAAACTCAATTAAAATGCACGGGTAGATAAAAACGCCCAGCTGCTAAAAATATGCAAGCCACTTCAAAAATTCCTGCAGGGCTGCTTTGCTATTAATAGCTACTAATCAGCCGAACATATTATTTTCCTGTATTACCACCAGACAGAAGATGGGCATAAACTGCTTTAATCTTGAGGGGTTTTTATTGCACAGCCATTAAAGTTACAGGGCTGTTCATTGTGGCTTTTAATTCCAACCTTCCCTTTGCTGTAGCTTTATTTTTCTTCTGGGAGAGCTACCTGCTACAGTTTCTCCCTTTACTGGAAAACATAAACTTTTATTCCTAAAAGCAATTCCAGATATCCTTTTCTCACCAAAAGTGCCAAGTCTATGCTAACAGAACATAACACAAGAAAACTTTTAAAACTCAATCTAATAGAAGACATCTATTAAAAGTACAAGCCTACCAGTCGGCTAAATATAGACTTGCTGTTCCCATACATTTCTTCCTGCATATCATTTCTTCCCTCATGCAGAAGGTGGGGAAACAGCTAGCTTTGTTTACTCAAATAACTGTGCAGGAAACTGCCCTTAATCTGAAGCTTGGCCATTGAAGCTGCAGGCTTCGTGTGTGTGCTTTAAAGCACCCAGGGAATCTTTCAACTCATTTTACAAGTTGGTGGTGGAAGTTCATTATGCAGTGTAACTGTCCTAGAACATGACACAGAAGTGCAACCTTAGAAAAAGCAATTAACAAACTGAGGCTAAAACTGTTGTACACTGCAAAAAACAAACTTTTCTGCTCTGAAAGCAAAATCCTCCAAACTTGAGAGGCTGGCAAAGCTGCTCCTTGCAGCTGTAGCTACACCACCCCCCCAACCCCCACCCCCCAGTTCATTAACTCAGCACAAGAACTTTGCTCAAGTTTAGGAGTGCCTAAAAGGAAAGAAATCCCTTTTAAGGAATAGTTTCATGACAGTCAAGTGCTGCTATTTCTACATGCCAATTCCATTCCCTTGTAGAAACAGATCAACAGTTTCATGCATGCGTGTTTCTTTTCCTTCCCCTGTTCTTAGCTTCTGCACCAGTTGTTGGCCAGAAATAAACCCCATTCCACAACCATATATGTGCAACAGCCTTTTGGTGATTCGGAGCCCCCTCCAGCACTGCTGTTATTCCACAAGGCCAGGAGAGTGTCTCCTTTCTATCACGCTCTGACAGGCTATGCATATAACCCAGCTGAATCGGGAATGCCTTTTACATCTCTTCTCTTTTCTGGACAAAAATAGCAGGAAGAGCTTAGCGAAAACATGTCACAAGTTGCTAGAGGTGTTTCAGGATCCTTTACTGTGGTCTTTGTTGAACTTTCATTCTCCAGCGGAACTAAAGAAGGATAATTTTCTCCTGGGACCTGCTTTAAAATACTTATCCATCTGCTGGTATTCAGAAAGAGTCAAGGTGTGTAACATTGAGGACTGGATGAAAAACAGTTTCCAGAAAGACTTCTGTAACAGGCATGAAAACACTGTCAATGATTTTTTACTAGAAGTTTGCAACAGGTATGTTCTTTGGTGTGAAACTCTACATCTACTGAAAGGTTAACTGCCTTGAAATGAGAATTGGGAGCTATTTACTCCATAGCTCCTACCCGAAATGGAGTACTAAGTAGGCGAGTTTGTGGTTTTAATACAGTGTTCAGTTGGTTTTATAGCAGGAGTGTGTACTTCATACTGACTTACCATAAGCCTTTTAAAAATTTTTTCTTTTTTAAAAAGAATGAATAATTAATACAGGAAAGTCCCTGCTGAATTGCTGCTTAACTGAAACATGCCATTTTGGCAGTGCAAAGCATTGTTGGGGGTGGGGGGGCGGGGCAGGGAGCAGTGCCTTGAGGAAAAGAAGTGATTTCAAATACTGAATATACATTATAACAAAACCAAGTTCATCAGACATGTTACTAAACACCAAATTGGTTTAATTCTAAGAAATAAGTATTTATTCATACTGAAATTTAACTCTAGCTGAGCTTTTTATAAACCACAGTACAGGAAAAGGAACACCACTATGGAAAAGCAGCTCTGGGTGCACACCATTTCTTACAACAGCCTTACTGCTACAGAGCAGCTCTGAGAAGAAAAAGTTAAATTCCATTAGGAGAAGCAAAGGAGGTAGAGCCAGTCCCAGTGTTCTAGTACCACCGAGGATGGCTGTGGTCCTAGATGAGAGGTGAAAGGGGGGGCATGTCCATGCCTATCCGAAAATGGCACACCTTTGTGCCACAACATGGAAGGCAAACAAGTTCTATTTAGAAGTAACTATTTAGAAAACCTAACGAACTACAGGATACTGACGGGACAGTGTCTTGGTGAGAACCAGCAACAGTGCAGTCTCAAAGCAAGGACCGAAATGTAGGTTCAAAACAGAATGTTACAAGTACACAATTTCAGAAGCAACTGTTCTAGAACAGCTGATAAAAAATAATTAGTAAAGTATCATTAGGAGGCACATCTGTGCCTGCAAAGGAGCGGAGGAGGAAGTAGTCTCTCATCTTGGCACTGGAATGTCTACCACAAGGCCACACTTAACTATTTCCATTTTTTTTGGCCATCACAAATTAGGATTCAGAAAGAGGACGCAAGACTAAAGCTCTGCAGAAACACTTTAAGTGCCTTTTTCCTCTGCAGAATCCATAACCCCAAACAGGTTCATAGACAAAATTCAAAGCCAAGCCCAGGTAGTAAGCAATTTCAAAGTCCATAAAAATTCAGCAAATGCCTTTCATTCAGCCTTACCTGGATTTGTTTCCACAAGTTAAAAAAAATATGACAGTTTAAACAAACTTAGCCTTCCATCTTAGCCTTCCTAAGACAAGTTCCTGCCTTTTTTTTCAGTGACCCACTGAAAGCATTTCCATCTGAACAAAATTCCTAGCATTCTGTGCAAGGAAAAATGCAAATTAAACAATCATCCAACTGTTCTCTCCGAGCTTGGAGTACTTTTATTCTGTTGATGAAGCCACAGGAGAGGGCAGGTCAGAGCCTTTCTTGACCTTGCCTGCTTTAAAACATTTGTTTTTCTAACTGTTCGTAAGTGTAAAGGAAAAGAGTAAAAAAACATCATGCAGCTGCCATGATCTCACTTTATTACCGCTCTGCTCAAAACATGAAGTCAAGCAGCAGCGGGGGCTTAGGGTGGGCTGTAGAGAAAGAGGAACATACTGTGTACCAGTTTTTTAAGGACAAAAGCATGCTGCAGTCAGCAGAACCCCCTTCTTGGTGCCACTGCTGTTGTACACCTAAAACCCTGACTGAGGCTGTAAGCACGGATCTTGATATGGAAGTGCTTAGGGACACCTGTCAGTTCTTACAGGAGGGAGGCAAGCCAATAGTTCCGTCCAGAGGTCTCACGAGGTCAACATCAGCATTGCTGTCATAATTTTTCCCTGCAGCAGCAGTGCCTAAAGAAGTCCTGTGCTAATAGAGGAACATGAAGCTGCATTTAGCTAAATAGATGGATAGCTGAACTGCTGCTCCCTGGAGAGAGGTGCAAGCCAGAATCCAGGCACTCCACACCAAAGGCTTTGCAAGTTTCGTCCCTGCAAACACACCTGGTCAGCACAACAGCTAGTAATAACTGCTCTGCTCCAGTTTTCTGCGTGAGGACAGTTAGTCTACATCATCAACACGCTGACTTGAAACAGGCCTTTTCTGTACTTTCCCAGCTCTACCCAAGTGACAAAAAAGCTTTTCTCATTTGCTGTATCACTGTTTAACAATAGAGCTCTTACCAGGTTCAGTGATTTATAGCTGTGTGGGGTTCAAACATCAACACATGGAGGCAGTGGCTAGCGCCTATTCACTACATCCAGGGAGCTGAAAAACACCCATAAACTCAAGAGTAGGAGTGTCTTACTTGCCCACGCTCAGCATGTCTACACAGCAGCCTCTTCACACAATTGTCCTCAAATTCATCCTGACTTTAATCTCGTCTCTACTGGGGCTTCATTTGCTGCGCTTGAAGTGCAGCACCATGCAACTCCTTAAGAAAAAAACAACCCAGCTGCAGCTTAAACAGGCATCTCTGTCCCCCTTCTCCACTATGCCAGCTGAGCTGTAGATGTTGCTACCAACAGAAAAAGCAAATAAGGTAAGTTTTGTGATTAGTAAAGCTGAACGCTCAGATCTACGTATGCCCCCACCTACTCTGCTTCCTTACCCCTCCTGATGGAAGAGGAGGTATTTTTCCAGCTTTCATATTTATTCTTGACAATACTAGCTCCTCCAAGCTCTATTACTTATTTTTCCTCTCATCTCACCTGTAACGATCATGTTTTCAGATGTCCAAACCTGCTATCCCTGACCCTCTCTGGATGCGGCCATGTTACAGACGATTGCATCTTGCTGCTTCTCAAGAACTGCCCAAACCTCATGACGCTCAAACTGGAAAACTGTGTGCGGATCACCGACCAGACACTAGAAGCAGTGATGCTCTTCGGGGGATCGCTGCAGACGCTCCATGTGGATTTCTGCCGGAACGTAACACAAACTGGTCTAGAGAAAGTCAGGGAAAAATGCCCTTTGGTAATGCTGAGAGCAGAGAGAAGTGCTAGCATGATTCCAGACAACAAGCCTGAAAAAAAGCTGATGCTTGAAAAAGCATCAAGAAAATTTGCTCAGCTTTAAGTGCACAAATTGTATAAACTCAGTCAATGCGGAGATTTTACTTCACTTCCACTCTTCCCTTGGGTAGCATTGCTCCCATGAACCACGGCTACTTTCCTGCATTCTGGTTTGAAGTCCAAACATATGGGTGATGGGTTTTGTAAAGGCTGCCCTGGGAAAAGGCATGCATCTCCATCAGGACAGTCTTAAGGAAAAGACTTGTTTGCTTTCTCTCAGTCCTTGCAACTGGAACACGCTGCACTGCTGTCACAAAACGTGAGAGCTGATGAAGGCTGAACACTGCAATCTTGATACCCTCTTGTTGCAGATGAGTGGAATGCACTTCACTCGGGAAGAGAGAAGCAGCAATATGTTTTATTGAGGTAAATTACTCATTTGACAGAGTTCAAGAAATTTGATGGAATATCAACAAAGTCTAACAGCTGTCCAACAGGGTTCACTAAGTGTGATGGCAAGGTTCACCTAATTAATTACTGCATGGAAGAAACATACAAAGGAAAATTGAGTTAGAATCGCGTTTGATTCACACAGACCAGGGACACAAAGAGTAAAGAGGACCCTCCCATTGAGTCACGAGGTTCCGAGTGGACTCCCTTGCTTTCCAAAGTCCTTATGTAATGGGAAAGGGCAGAAAGCCGCAGCAGATGGAGCTTGGGTAACTATGGTTTACACAAATCTCGGGGAAAGGAAGAGTGATTAACAAACTCCTGTTAAAGGACAGATGCTTATGGTCATTCCATCCAGTAAGGGTGATAACTGTGCCATCCAACATCTTGCTAGTAAAGCAGAGTACCTGACAGCCGTCACTTCCTCTGTGATTCACACTGTACCTGATTTGCCGGGCTTATTTATTAAATGAGGGATGCATGGCACCACTTGCAAAACACAGTGTGACCCTTTGCAAAACGTACTTTGACAAGATACACCAAGTTATTTTTTTAAAGTTGACATTAAAGGAAGTGCAATATGAACAAATGCTAGTTCACATAACTAGCTTATAGGAAAAGACAGTGCCTTATAAACCGCAGCTTTAAATTCAGAACACACCTATACAAACACACACCTGTTTCTCACTGCCAAGTACAGAACCAATAGCCGTTTTCATCTCCTGCATGCTGCTCTGCTACATGGAAGTGAAACTTTTTTTTTTAAATGAAGGGCTGCTATGACATCATCTACCAACTTTGACACCAAAAGTTAGCACAGGCTTATTCTGCCATATAAAATTTGCTTTGATAGAACATACTGGGATTTGGTCATGGTACTGAGTGCACACCACCTTCCCAAGACTCTTTAAGCACTTAAAGATTTTTGCCTGAGGAAAGGTAAACATTTCTGAGCGCCACATTACCACATAACAAGTTTTACTCATTGAGTGTCTCAGTGGAACACCACAGAAAAATCATTGTGATCATCTAGTTTGAATTATTAAGGTTTTTGTTTGGAAAAAAGCTCCCTGTCTCAAACCCCATGCTTTACTCTAGGTGGGAGCACGTCCTCAAAATCTGCTTTCCACTGTTTTCTGTTTTCTTCAGCAATTCTGACATGAGTTCAGAATTCTTACTCCTAGAGAGCACACCTAATATCTAATCCTGCCCACTGTTGCTGACTCTGTGGCAGAACTTGTATTTACCTTAAATCTCTCTCCCGTTCAATACAAGCCACTGAAGAACTTGACACTCACAAAGAATGACAGATGGTCAGAGTTGGCTATTGGTAGAGGACCAGATGTCAGCTCAGCTTAGGTGTCAAACAGAAGGCTGCATACAGCCCAGTTTGACAAACTGCAGATTCTGAATAGTTCCAACATAAATCACAACGAAGTCTACAGCAGTTAAGATTTAATTTTAAATGCAGACCTTGCACAGAGTAGGAATACCAGAGTGTGTGCATCCTTAAAATTAGAGCAAAGTTAGAAACTATTAGCTTTTGGAAATGCTGTTCCATCCCATAAAGAGAGTCAACATTTCAGTTCCATTACATAACAATTATTCAGGACTTTGTCCCTACAGCAATCGGTGTGCAAGCCTTTACATGAGGTGCTCTGCAGTTGTTGATAGTTCATCTCACTGCAGTGATAACAGGACACTGATGCAATCTGCTAGTGAAAAACCACAGGAACTGGAACTTGCATCAATTTTCTTACTTGGCAATCAAATTTGAAAACTGAGAATATAAGGGTTACATGTTACTGCTTCAGGTATACGTAAGGATGGAGGTTAACAGTTTTCTTTAGTTCCAAGCCATTTGAGTTCTGTCAAAGTTCTCTTAACATCACTGGAACATTTTTTACTCTTCACAGACACTTACCAGGTATGGAGGGAAGAAGGCTTGTTATCTATCAATTATGGAAGGTAACATAAACCAGGATGCCTACTTGAAAGCTGCATCAGGGTATCAGCTGCAAGTGGTAAACAAGACTTGGTTATCAAAAGTTTGTGCCTCTTCCTACACAATAGGGGAAAAGCAACTTTCAGAAGACCCTTCAGATTTCCATTGTGATAACACAGCTCAGCTTGGCAATAAGGTAAAAGGAAATTCAACTAAGTCCTGCAGCACAGTAAAACTGCTCGCTTAGCAGAAGCGGTATTTTTTTTACCATTAAACGTAGCTCTAAATCAAACTTCCAGACCTGACCTGATCACTTGGTTCACCTCTTCTCTGAAGAATACTACTGCTTAAGAACACATCCTGCTCTTACCAGCCTCCTCAAAACACCACAGACACGCATTCAACCTACCGCTGCATTCCAGCACTGTCAGACAAACCGACAGCACTACTGCTAGCTCCAGAAAGAGGGAGGCTTCACCCGATTACAGTCACTCACCTACCTCTAAGTCTCCGGGACCAGCTGTTCATCATCTTTCTGTTGTAGTGTGCCTCCCTGTTTCAAAGGGCTGGCCAGCTGTCGGATGGCCTGACAGCCCAAAGGGCTAGGGATACACTTCCTAGGTGGTAAGGAGGGGAAAAAAAAAAAAAAAAAAAAAAAAAAGGTAGAAGAAAGCAATGGAAATCTAATCCTAGGGTAAGAACAGGGTAAGAAACAGAAATTACGGGCTTGGAGAAACCACAGTCTTACAAAGCAGAGTGAGCGCTTCTTGGGAGTTGAGGTGTAAAGAAAAGGTTAGGTACTACAGATGTACAGCAGAAAATAAGTAGTGGCAAATATCAGTCATGTTCAAGAGACACAGGCTTTTGGCATCTAAGTGCTTTCCGATACAACACCTACCCAGCACACTGCTTTTGTGGCTAAAGCTTTGCAAGCTGGTTTTCTCTAGCTACACCTAGAATGTAACACTTCCAAGCTTACTGTGCCTCCGTATCTCGTATTAATTTGAAATGGGTCTAGATAAACACATTGTCACACACCTGTTCTTACCTCTGATATGCATGTGTTACCACTGATACTCCCTGCTTCAGTCATACCCACCCTGCCCATCCAGCGCTGAAAGGTGGGAAGGAAATGTGGTATGGCATCTGGAAGTGGCCTGCAGTCCGCCTTGCCTCAGCCAACTCTGCCTAGTGCAGCAATGCTGCCCCTGGAAGGTTTGTTACAAGACAGTTGCACGGTTTTTTCTTTCAATAACTGCACGTGTAACCTACTTATACTACCCACTGCAGACATACACTTTCTGCGTAAGGAAGGGTTTGCATATGTAATACCCATCAACTGACAAAGTTAGAACTTTCTCAGGGGGTCTGCAATAGTAGGACATAATCAGTGCTGTACATTCTTTATCTTTGTATGCACTTGGGTTGAAGCAGCATTATACGAGAAACACGATTGTGATTCAGATGCCTGAGCAACAGAAAAATGTCAATCAGCAGGTTAAAAGGAATGTTTGCATAATTATGGTGAAAACAATCAGTAGGATAAAATAAAAATAATTAAACACCTGATAATTTTAATGATGGCAAGATAGAATATTCAAAGGACGATCACAATCAATTAAAAAAGCCTCAATTAAAGCAATCAAGCACAATCCTTTAACCAACATCGATATTTGCCAATATCAGCATCTTCTTTCACTTCACTGGAAGCTGCCTGGAAACCCTCTTGTTAGCCAAGAAGCCAACTGCGTAGTCCATGCAAAACTGGAATTTTTAGGCACAGTTGTATTATTTTCTGTGCCCGATTGAAACAGACTGACACGTTAATAGCGCTAATTCAGACGCATAAATGAAGTCTAGTAAGCAGTAATACAGCACTTGCCCCTTTTATTTTTTATGTATTACACTCACAAATTAATACCAAGATGTGAATCTACTCCCCCACAACATGGCAATGGGACACCACAATCTCAGTCCAATTTGGAACCATCCTACATAATGAGGCAGAAAACTAAGTCCATGAATTCAGAGCCCTGAGTTCCTCCTTCTCCAAACCTGCTGAGAGCCCCCTTCTAGATGTTTCACTTTGCAGTCTGGTTCTTGGTCACAGCTTGAGAACCTTTTGCCTTTTTCATGAGCCAGCAACTTGGTCCTACGCAAAAGAACTTCACCTGATAAAGCCCAGTTCTGCAAGTTTTTGCAGCTTACCAAGCCAGCCCTTTGAGCACTATTAGCCGGCAGTAGAATACCCGTTCAGCCTTGGACAACCGGGAAGCCTCCCTATCAATCCCTGCTAACGTACAACAATCACATGAGCAAAAACAACAGGAATTTCTGTCTACCTTCTCCAGACTCGGATGGACCTGTCTTGTCCCAGGTGAGATAAAGTTAATGAATGATCTCTCTGGCCCTCAGGCCCCACAGCATCCTTACCAAGGAGGTCAGTGAGAATGAGGCGGGGGCAACCAGGGCAGAGCAGCGGTGACCCACCTGGGGACAGACTCTGCCCTTTGCTTCACCCAGGTAAATCCTGCTCCTGAACACCAAGCAGCATTTGTAGTTTGACACAAGTCAGGCTTTCGATAGAGACACTGGGGAATTACCTATTCTTCAGTATTTCCCTGAGACACAGACCAAAAATTTCTTTGTACAGCACCTCACTATCCTAACCAACCATGAACATTACGGTGCAAGCCATGCCCTGCTGATCACAATACAACTGCAGCTGCAGCAAAGTGAGACCAAGCACATGGTCAAAGGCAGAAACTAAAAATGTATATAAAATCCATGGCCTCCACTACTACCCTGTCACTTTCATTTTAACTTGTTTGTACTCTGATCATGAATCAACTACATCAATCTAGATATCAAAAAGGGTTTTTTTTTTGTTTTGGGGTTTTTTTTTTGACAAAAGATGGAAAAGTTTCTGAGTCAAGGCGGCAGTATGTTATTATTGTCAACAACTACTACTCTGAAGGAGAAAAACGTTTAAATGAAAATCCAGAAGGAAGCAAGTACAACGTTAAGCTTGTACTGAAGTATGAGGAATAAGTAGTGGTATACCCGAAAAAGTCAGTACCTCAGAGACATTAAGAATGCAGAACACAGTACTACACACCAGATTTGTTGAAGAGAAACATTTTCAGAGGCTTGAAATGGCACATCCTGTCTAAACACGGCGATACTATAATTTCCCGAGACAAAATAGAAACATATGAAGCGTGAGTAAACCAATCACAGTTCACAAATGCATACAAGCAACCAATTCTTGAATTTGCTTTATTTTTCTCTGCATCAGGAACCCTGCACAGGCAATTCAAATTAAAACAAAATAAATATGTGAATATTCATGTAAAACTGTCCTTGCTAATGAACAATTATACACAATGTACAACTCTTCATGTTCACTGGGAGGGCTTACAAATGTACTATTCCCAACAAAAATGCACCAAAATGTCTCCATGCAAACTTATCAAAAGTGACCAAAAATGGAGAAAAAACTTACTGATCATACTTGTTTGTCTTCTTTTTCCTTTTTTTTCTTTTTCTTTTTTACAATCACAAAAAAATAAAAACATCTAATTTTTTGTTACATTTAGAGTAACTAAAATGTGGCCACTGTCTATTAACATCTGGTTTTATGCTCCTAAAACATCTATGGTTACTGTAAAATTATGTCGACAACAAATTGGACTTAGGGCACTATTTGTAGTGAAGGAAGATGATTTTGTTCACAGAATGTGAATTAATAATCTGTGTCTGAGCCCTCTGCATTGTCCACATTCCGTGAGAGCATATAATTGTCCATATCTATAGACCTGCAATTATTGATTGCATAGCGCAAACGCTCTGCCATGATTAGCTGACTGGAGTAAGGTGGGAGCCTCAGTTGAAAGAAGCAAGTCTGTGAGGTAGGCAAGCTGTCGTAAGGCTGTGGAAATGGATAAAAGGGGGGACACTGTTAAGTTGTGAATGAAGCAAAAAATGCAACATATCCGTATTTCATTGCTCCCTCCCTTCCTTGCCCCTGTCATTCAGCATTTTCACATTCTATCTCAAAATACCTTTTAAGAAGCAGACTAGCCTCCCTTGTTTACATCGCTTGTTTCATCCTTCAGGAGGTGCAAAACTACTGCTCTGTCACCTGCTCTGGAAATAATTCAGCCCACTAATTAAATTCAACTGGTTGAAAAGTTGATTGCACTACTATTTAGCAGCCCACTGTAAGGCACCAAGCAACATTCAAATTACATGCCATAATGTGACTTAACATTGGGCAGTTAGAGAGACACCTAACCAAAGATGACAGTCAAACCACTGTTATCTTAGATTTTGCCAAGTTTTTGATGACTCGTGTAGTTGACAGAAAACGCGATTTCACTGCAAAAAAACCCAGAAGCGATGCCAAATGAATGCATCCTGTATGTAAAGCAAAATACTGTCAACTCATTACAGTGGTTTTAAGATGTTAAGGGTTCACTAGTGGTCACATGTTGCCACTGACAGATTTAAAACTTAAAAAAAAGAAGTGAAAATTGTCAAATGAAAACAGGGATTGGAACAGAAAATTACTGAGAAAAAGTTACAAGATGGTTTGTTTCTTGTGCAAGAACCTGTCCAAACCTCCAAATCTGTAACTATAGTAAATGCACCAAATGAACGAAGATGCAATTCATGCAGTGTATGTACTTCTACAAAATTAAAATGCTTGGTTTGAATAGCTCAGAGCATATCCCATCCCATACTTTCTCCTTTGTAAATTTGCTATTAAGGAAACCTGTCTCCTATTGCCAAAGGACAGCTTATACTAGACAGGAATTAACAAAACCCCAAAATTGAAAACAGGGTCTTACCCTATCAACCTTCATTATTTGGAATCGCTGAGAGATATCAGCTGTGTTGGCTGGCAGTCGAGATCTTCCTGACACAAACCTCATGAAAAGGACTCTCTCCTCATTTGAAAATTCTTCAAGGGTATGCCAGAACCACTGTACTAGCTGATGCTGCTCATCAACTTCTCTGTATCGCACAACTTTCTTCAGAACTTCAACTGATATTTCTGGCATTCCACAGACCATTTGCTCCAACTGCTTGGCAGTCAGAAGAGACAACAAAGGAACTGGGACAATCCAAGACATTCCTTCTCTTACAGCAGCCACCTATTGCCAAAAAAGAAGAGACATCTGAAGTGCAATTGTCTTGCCTCTGCCACTTACTGTACCATCCGAATGCCAAAGTAACATAGCAGCTGAGAAATGGGATAAAGAAGCAGAATGATGTTACATCTGCCAAATGCGACCTCCCACACATGCACCCCCTGTAAGGGCTGCATCCTCTCTCTCAAAATCCTGGAGAGTATTACCAGTATTTTAAATTGTAATTACACATTAAAGAATGTGTTTTGATACAAACCAGAAGACCTTTAAAAAGTCCAAGTCAGCAGCGCAAATGATGATGGCTAAGCCAAAAAACTGTGTGTACCACGCATCTGAGCTGGAACACAGTCAGATGCGTAAGAAATGCGTTCTAGATGGCTTAGGATTTGGTACCTCTGATGAGAAAGTTACTTTTCGAATGCAGATAATATCATGCATCCATCTATGTCTTGAGAAAAAGGAAAACAATTTTTCTAGCATGTAATTAGTATGCTGCTTTCATAAGCTTCACTAGACAAATGACAGAATACACAAAAGTGTGCAAATAGGTAATTAATGCTGCTCAAAACCTATCATGAAGCGTTTGTTGTTTCTGTGCTAAAGCAGAAGAGAAACAGTTGTAAGTTAAGCAAATGTTTGTCAATAATATTTACTTTAGCGAGTCTCTATCTGGCTATACTGTCTCTATGTTGTTATACAGCACACAGCATGCACAGCTGCAGGTCTTTTCCCCCTGCAGTGGGGCTACGCTAATGAAAGACAAGTTCTGATTTCTAACGCATTTTTGTCGACTGAGCAATTACTAAGGAAAATAGGACTCATTTAAAACGAGACCCCTAAACAGTTTGTGGAGAAAGAAAAGCCACGGGGACCCAGGCGACATGCGGAAAGCCAAGCTTTTCTCATTCCCCAATAAACTGCAATGGAAACGGGTGTCAATCAAAACCACTGTATGCATTAACAATGGGGACAGGGTCACAATGAGACTTACCTGACGGTCCATTTCATGGAGTCTGTACTCAATTGCCCTCTCCACATATTCTTTCCTGTTTGAAAAGGTAAGTGGAATACTGTTCCCTCCAGGGATTATGGGAACCATTTTCCCATCAGCGCTTTGGCCAACAAAAGAATCTAAAGGAATCATCTGATAGGCAAAACAGGAAAAGTATGTTCAGCGTAAGTGACTCTAGTGATCCAAGTTTAATATTTTGCTATCAGTCGCCTGGAACCATAATAAGATCACAAACTATTCCAAATGCACGTGAAGTGCTTGTTATCCCAGTAACGGGGACATTGTACTATATAAATCCTGAAGTTAAGGTCAATCTGATCAAGTAACTGCTTTCAGAATAAGCCTAAAGGTTCCAACTTTCACATCTTACCTCATGGAAATTTTCTTCGGTAATCCCACTGTCTTCAATGTGAAGAATGCTGTTGAGGGTCTGCACATAGAGCAGATCTACCTCCTCCAAATCCTCCAAGATGAGTGGGATACAACAAAGTTGCTTCCAGACCATTGGAGCCAAATGAAGATCTAATGGCTTTTTTGTACGAATAGCTACACCCATAAGAATGCCCAAGAACTTAAACTGCATCAAATGTTCATCTAAACATGCTGAAGGGTTAAAGAGGAACCTGAAAGAACAAACAAGCCGTGAAAATGCTCCAGCCTATGTTACTTCATTAGAAGTAAAAGACAAAAAATGTCAAAGCACAGCATAGTAACCGTCAACACAATTATCAGCAAGGGGTGTCCACATAAGAAGATTATTGTGATCTTTAGCTTGTTAAAATAATGGAGGCCGAGACAGGCAGAACTGATCCTGACCACAAAGGCTGGCAGTCTCAATGTTACTCTGAATTCTGCCATCAGCCATCCAAGAAGTTCATGTTGAAAACTTACCTTTTCCCTCCTCCACAATGAAGTATCATCACAACACGACCCAAAGGAAAAAAAACATCCTGGAGACCATCATGAAGTCTCATCATTTTGTATAAAATGTTTAATAGAAAATTTTAATTTTCACCTACTAGCATCTGCAAGAAAAGCAAATCCCAAACAACTTACCTATCCCTGTTGTAGCCTACTTCAGCCGTAGCATTTGGAGAAGGAATCAGCAGGTCCACTATTCCAGTTTCCAGTTCCTTAAAAATCAACAACAACAACAAAAAAAAGCTTTCTTAGACACAGAGATAACAAACCTATTACAGAAATATTATGATATTATGGCATTACAAGACAGAATATTCTATTATAGTAATGATTTACTCCTTACATATTAATGTGAAGTATTTAAGAGAAAGTAAACATGGTAGGGATGATTTTTAGTAACAAAAGGATATTTGACCTGCCCTTACATCAGACTATAATGGTTATTTTACTGTGACTGCTCTGTGATACATTCCTGGTACTGGTTTCAGAAATAAGCAGAAGTCATAAGCTATACAGCAGCTTTTTCAAGAACCAAAAATGAAGCAAATTTTTCAATGAGTTCTGTTCGGAACTCTCATTGCACCTCATAATTAACGGAAACTGTCTAGGAAAGAATCAAAAATTATGCCTCAAGTCCTTACCTGAATGTTCAACCCTACTCTAGTCTTACAGGCTCCTATCTCAGAGGATCCCAAAGGCCATCTCAGAATTCCAAAGGGCCTACTGTAATACTAGTTATCGTGTGGCCTCATGGCCACTAGTTATCGTGTGGCCTCATGTGTTCCTTGCCACAGTCTAGGAAGATTTCTTTATCCTCAGAGACATGCCTAAGCAGGCAGCTCTAGTGCTGTGGCTCAGGACTGAGTATTTGCTAAGTGGCAAAGAAGAAATCTGAAAAATACTAAAAGACACCAGAGAGAATAAAAACTCTACTCGGGCATTTTGAACTAACAGACTTTTCATACCTGACACATTTCTGTAATAGTGTCATCAAACACTCCACCTGCATCATCAGCTCCTTCTCCAACCAGTTTCACTTTCCAGGCACGGGAAGGTAGGCGAAGGTCTGATGCATTCAACTTTACCACTTGTCTTGCTATCTGTACAAAAATGGGCTTGCATTTCCGACCTCTTTGAAAAGAAAAAAGAAAAAAAAAAAAAAGACACAGCCATACAATGTAACTCAAACACATAAAGGCTACTGAATTCACTTGATTAACAAAGCTGTACAGAGAGAGCTCCATGTGCCAAAAGTTACGGAAAATGTATGAATGTCGGTATTTGTTTGAGGTCTAACAACACCTGTGAAAACAATACTGACCTGGTTGAAATCCTTTTCACAGTAATCTGTGGCCCATAGTTCTTCCCCTGAACCATAGTTTTTCCTATAGAGCGTACCATGGGGAGCGTGTATACTCGTGGTGCTAGCAAGGGCCTTAGCTGTCCTTGAACTATTCCCCATGTTCCAGCGTTGTAATGAGATGTACTGTTCTGCAATAAAGCAGTAGGAGAATAAACATATTAATAAAGAATATTCATTCCATTCTTTATAGAACAAAAGCCTTCCTAATTGTCACTAGCACTTCAATGTTGCAGGAAACAGACAGGTTAGCACTTTTGGTTTTAGCTTTGAGGCTAGCAAGCTTTTGGAAACTGAAACAGACATATCAATATTGGCATAAGCAAAAACATATAACAATACATCGACAAAGTTTGGTTTAATGCAGATTTAGGGTTTTTTTTAATTACAAAAAATCTATAGACTCTATTACTAAGATCCATCTCAACCTGGTCAGAAACTCCCTAGGGACATGGGACACAACACAGCTAAGCTGTGGTTTTTTTTCAAATGGAATTTTACCTGGTTATTGGGACTGAGGTTAAGTAATCTCCATGAAGAGTACATGAGGTCAGAAAAATGGTACAGCAGTCTGAGCCTTGCTCTTACTGTATGAATGCTCACTTCTTTCAGTGCCCCATACTGTGGTGGAATAGCATCAGGTAAACCAAGCTGTAAAGGCACTGAAACACCTATCACAGAAAAAAAGGGAAAAAAGCATTATTTCATAAAGGGTAGCTGTACTACTTTTGGCTGAGACAGAGTTGATTTTCTTTGCTGCAGCTTATGCAGTGCTTAGCTGCCCACCAGGGTTAAACCATAACAGTAGCAAAATTAGGAGACTAAGATGGTTTGAAAACCTGCATGGCCACAAAAGAAAACATATTTTGTCCCGAATGTTCAGAACTTCTCGTTGCACTCAGCCCCCAGGAAAGACAAAGACTAAATCAAATGAGCACAGAAACAATCTCAGTTCTTTACCTGGAGCTCTCGGTGGGACAGGCGGAGCTGTCCAGGCAGCGCTGTGGCAACGTCCCGCTGAAATCTGTCGAATGTTCTTTCCTTGCAGGACTGTTACTAGGGTTGGTTCTCGGACATGGTTGGTATGGCCCAGTCCAAGCTGACAATTTATAACAGTTGTAAAAGGGACAAAGAAGAATCAACAACTGTGATGATACCTCTAAAACTCTCTAAGCAAAAATTCAGAGCAAATGGTAAAAAATGGTATTAACCTACAGCTTATACTGGGATAAAAAAAATATTTCCCATATAGATGTTTTATTATGCTAGCATTTACCTTTTATTTTCGACAGAATATTGCATCCCTACTCAATGGGAGGAGTAGATCTAAGTGTCAAAGAGACCTTAAAACAGCTAGAGATTTTTTGCAAGCTCTTTTCCAGACTGAGGAACTAATCTGTGCAAAAAGTTGAGTTACACATGAGGCGATGGAGGAAAACAGACTTTCAAGGGCAGGGATAAAATTAGGGTCCCAAAGAAAGGAAAGATTTTATTTATTCTGACTTTAAAAATAATCACTCTCTCAAAAAAGTTAATTTATGTTTTCTTTATGAAAAGCATCTAAAGAATTCACAAATCTGACTGATGCCAACCATAAATGTTATGATTTTAAAAAAACTGATGACAGCTCAAGAATTAGGTAAAAATTCATAATTTTTTAAAAAACCTTTGATTAGAATAATTAGGGTGGAATCTTTTCAGTGCTTTCCCAAACTACTACCATGTAAGAGCATAGGAAATAAAAAAGAAAATAATGGAAATGCCTAAAGGTTTATTTTCCACCAGAAGAAAGATATTCCAACTGCATCTGTAAAGTACAATTATAACCTTATAAAGGTGAGAAATGAACAGGGAATATAGTACATACCTGCCCTTCAGAGTTGCTGCCCCAAGCATATACATCCCCTGTAGAGGATAAAGCCAGTGTATGCTCTGCTCCTACAGCTATGTCTTCAATGAAGATTCCTGACAGTACTGGAACTTGTTGGGGTCTGTTGTGATTTCGAGCTCGACCTTCTGGCAAACCTATCAGGCGATCTAAAATTGCAAGCACATGTCTATATATGTAAAGAACATTAAAAAGTTAATTTCACTTGCAGACAGAATTCAGGGAGGGACAAAAAGCAATTCTACATATTCTTGGAACCGAGACACAAATGCAATTGGTTATGGGGAAATCTAGTGTATGTTTCCTCATTAATATCGCTAAAACTGTTATTTTCACTTTAAGTCTGAAACAAGTTGAAATTCTATTAAAACGAGACTTCTCGATCTAAATGTCTGGTTTCATAATACACGAGCTAACTGACTTGAGAAGTTTAAACACATTTAATTCAGTGCAATTGGAAATTCTGCCCAGATTTTTAAACAGCTTGTGTAGGCACATGCTTTATTAGACAAAGTGAACCTCTGTGTAACCCAGTGTTTTTGGACATGTGAATTTCAATTAAGTTTTAGGAAAACACTCTTCAAAAAGTAAATTAGTAAATTGAAAACCTGTCCTGAGATCAAACTTGATAGAGCTACAAATCTGGATTTTAGGCCTCCATTTAAATTGCATTGCTCAAGTTCCAAAAGTCAGATTAGGTTAGCACAAATACAAAAAGTAGCATTAGGTCAGTCTTTTAAAAGTCTTCATATTCTTTCTTTTCACACAAACCTATAGATAGAAAGGTCCAAATATCAGATTGTCCTACCTTGTCCAAAAGTATACACGTGTCCATCTTTTGTCAGCGCAACAGAGAACTGGGTTCCACAGGCAACTTTTTTAATTCCAATTCCACAAAGAATATCCACTTTCTAAGAAGTAAGTGAAAGCAAAAAGAGCTATGGTATTATGAGGATACAAACAGAAAGTAAACACCAATTTAATCTGTAACTCCTGCTTCCAAAAAGAAATCCTACAATTCTCACTGTGCAATGCATACATTGTAGGATTACACTAATTAATGCTTGTAAGTTAATACAGGAAACCGAGACACAGTTTTCTCTCTTTTTCTTTAATGGAATCAACACCTTATTCTACGTACAATGATCCAAAATACTTTTTCTTTACTAGGAATGAGCAGGGAGTGGCATGGGAGGAAGTAGATGAGTGTGTAAACAATGTTCCCCCCGAATTCCAAAATAAGAAAGCTCTCTTCTTTACGGTAATCCTAAGATTTTCACTATTTGCATTTCCACTGAGATAAGGACACTATTATTTATGTGAAATCCTTTAAAGTATTGGGCTCAGCATAACATCATCAGAATTATTTATGCAGGACTGTATTAGAACAGTATAGCAGATGGAATTAATAATTCAACGTTTGCAAATTGCACTCTGAACACTGTGCAGTGTTTTTAACAACACTGAATATCTATGCAAAGAATAATTTCTCTACGAATTCTAACCTGTGGTGAGGATTTTGCAGTGGAATTCCCCAAACCAAGTTTGCCATAATCTCCATCTCCAAAAGCCCAAACCATTGAGCCATCAGTTGACACAGCTACAGTATGATTGAGTCCACAGGCCACCTGGTTGAGAGAAACATGTTATTACCACACTTTTTGCTAACTTACTACTAACTCAAAACAGCCCAACTACCTTTACGAAAAGAAAAATCATGTTTTGAAAAATAAGCATGCTTTCAAAACCATCAAAACCTCCATTGCTTGTAACAGCATTTTAAAGACATTTGGGAACACAGTAGTATTTTTAGGCACTTGCTTCCTCTCAGCTCCTAGAACCAAGGGATAGTATTACGCTACACATGCTCACTGTTTAAGAATACAAGATTGCTCATGATTTAATGCTTAAGAATACCTAAATCTCAAAATGTTAAAAAACATGGGCAGTTTTGCAGAAAGAGGATCAAAAGAGTCAGGAAAGTAATTCTTTAAAAAATTATGCACAGTCAAATTCTGTCATCATAATAAAAACTGAAGCCAAGGTTAAAAAAACCATGAACACTTAAAATACGGTGAAAACATCAGCTTTAAACAGTGATACGTTGCTAGTTTTAGATGAACCATGCCTGTCCAATCTGGTAACCTTCCAACGCTGTCACTCTTTCTGGAAGTTTCTTATTTGAAGTATTTCCAAGTCCTAATCGACCATAATCACCATTTCCAAATGTAAAAAGTTTGCCATCTGCTGTCACCACAGCTGAGTGTTTGAAGCCACATGACATCTGAAAGCAAAATAAACGTAACTTTTACATACATTTTAAATCTGGGGGGGGAAATTCTATTAGCTATTACATGTAAATATGTAATCCCTTTAACTGCCCTAAATCACATTCACTTTATAAGGAGCTAAAATACAGACATTTTAGTATTAATTTCTCCAACAACCTATTTCTCATTCTTCTCAACAGTAACGTTGAGGAGGAGGACAGGTGGGTATTTGCTTAAAGGAAGGCCTTCAGGTGGTTTTTGTTATTTATTTATTTTTAACAACTACTGTTTTCTGCAAACAGATTGCAGTTGCTGTATGAATATTTTACATTTTTATCAAGAAACCTCCAGTCAAAGCCAAATATGTTTTTGTGCATTGTTATAATGCACAGTTAGGGCTTAGCAGGAAGTCTTGGTGACTAGTTTTGTAGGTCAAAGACATCTGATAAGGGAAACTTCTAAATCGCATCTGTATTTTGACAGTTTTTTGCTCATCCCTCTCTTCCATGCTCTTTCTAATTTTTAGTCTTCTCCAGTAACAACTGTCAATTAACATCACACATCAAACAATGAGGTCTGTGATACTAACATCTTTCAACTGGAAATTATCAGCTGGGTTTGTAATGCTCAGAGAAATAGAGTCAATATATGAATTCAAACTGTCAAGACTGACAATGGTTCTGGGACAATCCTTGCACTAGGTTACCATGCCTGCAATTTGTAGGAGACAAAAAATATTTTGGAACCTGCACCACTTCTTCTCCTTGCAGAGCCTCTATTTGTCTAGGCCTGCGTTGTCTGTCACTGTTCCCATGTCCCAGTTTGCCATAATCTCCATCTCCCCAGCTAAAGACTTCCCCACTTTCTGTTAAAGCCATGGAATGCCCATCAGATCCACAAGAGGTCACCAGCTGTGTTACAACAAAGCCTGTTAAAGAAAAATGAGAAAGAAAGGTTTAGAGTAAATGATAATAAACTCCTGACATACATTTTCCTAAGTGCCCCTAGTGGCAGCCAATTAAGTCTGGGGAAAGCAATCAACTATGATGACAGTTTTCTTGTTAGAACAATGTCTTTATTTTTTTTTGAACAAAACAAAACCTTCATCTTCTTATGTACAACCTACACTTCTGGCCTGCCATTCATTTTGAAATGAAATGTCCCTATCTTGAGCAAGCACTTTTGCCTAAAGCCTTCTTAAAATTAAGGAATTTTAACATATTACTACTTAAATCTTAAGGAGAAATAAACATTGAGTTTATTTGTTCAGTTTTTCTGTTAAAGTCTACAATATTTTTAATGTGTAAATCTACAAAAAGAGCATAAAACAATATTACATTAACTACCAAAATGCTTATTTGTGCTTTCCTCAATTGACTTATTTCAAACCTAACAATTTTACCTTGCAATGCTGAAATGACTGTTAACACATGAAGATCATCAGAATTTCCTTGTCCCAGTCGCCCATAGCTCCCTTCTCCACAAGCCAAAACTGTGCCATTAGCTTGAATGACAAAAGTACAATTCTGACCACAAACAACCTGGTTTAGAAAGACACAGAGGAGCTTTAATTGTTTTTGTGATAAATGCATCAACATTGTAATACCTGCATCACAATGTACAATCTCCTTTTTAAATTTTTTTTCCTTTGTAATTGTAGCAAGACAACACTCTTGTTAGGCTGCAAATACTTGTGTGACTACCCTATTAACCTAAAACTTCGCTCACCCCACGTTTAATGGAGTTTTGTTACCCAATCACATCATCATAAAAATTACTTCACTGAAACTTGCTACTAGTTTTGACAAACCTGCTTCCAGTGAGAGAAATCACAATATACTCCTACCTGAGATTTAGTTTTGTCGTTCCCACACTGAATGTCAATGTTATTTCAGAAAAAAAAACTGGCACACGTACTATGTTAAAGCTGTGCAGGTATTTTCCAATCATGCTTATATAAAACAATTTTTGTTTTGTCAAATTGCAATGGCTTCTTGGTTTGAATTTGTAAAATAATTAAAGACTTCCTCTTTTGTGAAAACAGATGTTTTGGAAGTACTTTATAGTAAATTGGAACAACAAATGGAAAAGACATTTAGAGAGGAATTTAGACAAACTGTACAAATACCGCACACTAAATAATTAAAAACAGAAGCACATAACTTAAAATTATCACCTGCTGAGCCTGAGAGAATGAAGGTGCTGCTACTGGTATCATGATATTTCTACCAGCTTCTGCTAACTGTCCATGTCTTCCTGCTCCCCACAGATAGACATCACATTTGCCTCCCAAGTGCCAATCCTATGGAACGGCATGAAGAATGCTTTTGTTAGGACAAGAGTACTTTTAATAGCTTACAATGCTTAAAAAGCCAACAAAACCCCCAAACAAATAAACAAACAAAAAACAACCAAACAAAAACACACAAAAAAAACCCCAAGCCCCCAAACCCCATCAATTTTACTAACCTCTGGCCTTGATGTTGCCCAAGACATTATCTGTTCATCCATACCGTTGATCCACTTACTATTATCCTACACAACAAAAGCCACAGTTACCACATCCAGTTCAAGAGATGCATGTTATTTTGCTGTTATGTGATACGTATTTTCCTTTCTAAGAACAATATTGCTAACCAAATTATTCTAAACAGTACAGCAGTAGGAGTGAATGTGTGCAGACTCGAATACTTTATTTTCATCCATAGGCCAAGTTTATTTCCTTACTACACCTATCTAGCAACGACACTGTTTTATCCATGACTTACAATCAAAATAGAAAAAGGAAAAAAACCCCAAAATTCATAATGAAGTAATCTTTTCCTATTTACTGGTGCTCCAGGCTTTTTGAAGTTTTTACTGCAAACACTGGCTTGAAGTGTTTTAAGTTTGCTCATAAAAAGTTCTTAACCAAAAATTTCTATTTTGGTTTACTTATCATAACAAGTCACAAAGACAACTGTCGCTAGCAAAATAATTTGGTGCTAGAAATGTGCCAAAACGTCACTCTAAAAATAGCATTATAGAGCCTTACATTTCTTGCTTCTATCACGTATAAAAATTACTGTCACAGCTTTGGGTTGGTTTTTGTTTTGTTTTTTAATACGCATCTGACACACTCATGACTACACATGCGCACACACACACACAGGGAGCAATCTTTACAGTTAATTAAAAAATAAACTTACACTGATTGCTGTTGCTTATGTTAATGAATATAAATCTTTACAGTTCAGAGACGTTAACTGCTTCTTACCGTATGCTCAATAACAACATGCTTCACTGTTAAGACAATATAGCACATTTTACCATCAGGAGAATAAGCTCATCCTCTGGGACAGGCTCCAGGTCTGGAACAGTGAAGGATTCTGGGAACTGTGCTCCCTTGGCCAGGGCTTCAGCAGCTTTTATGGTGGTAGAGAAACACTCTAGCCAGGCCCATTCAGTGGGATTCCAGGCTGAAGGATCAGGGAGGCAGTTCTGGTGATGAGGTGGTACCGGGGGATTGCACAAGAGCTGATCTAGGTGAAGGCCCACAGCGAGCGATGCCAAGCACTGCATGTAAGGACTATGAACAAGCTGGTCTCCACAAACAACATGGGGCTAAAGGTGAGGGGAATGGGAGAAAGAAATTGAGCATGCAGTTAGAAGTATATATTAATCAACTCGGAAACAGGAGTCCTTCAAAGCTACTCCTGTAGGAAAAAAAAACTTTCCTCCATGCTTAGTCAAAGTTTTTCTAATATTTTAAATATTCTCAAATTAGGAGACTACTAGCTTTGAGAATACTGAAAGTCACTTGCAAACAGGATGTAGGAAGGTCTTCTGGGTTCTCTGTGGTAGAAGACTGAAACCAGCTGCGAATCAAACAGTGACCTCATGTCAGACATAAATTTTACAAGTTTCTATTAGCTCTTCTTACCTTTTCGTAAGCATACTGTTCCTGAAGCATTATTGGCAAACGTTCCAAGAAAGCTCGCATGCAAGGAGCCATATTTAATCCCAGCACTCCTTGCTGTTTCAGCGCAGTCCTACATGTTGCAAGGATGTGATTGGAAGATATCCACTCTGATGTACAGTTCACTACCAACACATCCTGTTTAATAGCAGTCACAAGACACGTTAGAAATTAAAAAACGATAAAGCACAATTATTCAACTGCATTGATTTCTCACCAATTATCCACAGGGGCTAACACACAAGCTTCAACATTTTTTGTCTCTGTTTGTGAAAAATATGCTGACAAATGCTATGGTATAGCCATCTCTGTTTGCCACTTCCTCACTTTCCCACGGCAACACTACAATTATCACTCCAAGGAAGAATGCAAATATGGTAATAAGCAGAGTTCATTTCAGTGAACGCTGTTACCTTAGTTTGGGATTTAGTTTAGGTGCAACCTTAGTTTAGGATCTGCCTTGTAATATGACCTTCAATATTTGGTCTGAATTCAGAAAAGACTTTCAAACAATACCAAAATACTTAGAACCACATGCAGCATGACTCTACTAACACGAGTCATATCTTATGCCATATTTCTCTTCATTCACACAAAAAATAACATCTTTTGTAATAATCAACTGTTACAAAACTTCTGTTCAGATGTCAGCAGTTCCTGCCACAGCAAACAGTGAAGTAAATTCTGCTGCTCCTTAAAACTTTCTGAGGTTGAGGTTGCTTTAGATTAAGTTAGATGACTGAATTATCTTATTTGCTGGGGGAAATGAACATTACTTCATGCTGCATAAAGGGAAAAAAAAAAAATTCTCTCTTCTGCCTATTTTTATTGTCCACTTACAGCTGCTGCCATTAAACAGAGAAGCTGATGTAACTGGTGGGCAGCATCCTTTATAACCACTGGCTCAGGAAGATTCCACCTTGCCCCTCCAAATTAAACAAAGGATACTATTTAAAAAAAAAACAACCTAGTCTTTTTAGGGTCAGGTGACAGTGGAAGCCCAAAACACTGTGTCTTGAAAATATAACAGTTAGATATGTCTATCTGCAAAAAAAAAAAAAAAAAAAAAGAGAGAGACACATAGCATTTTATTTTAGTAAAGAATTTGAAAGACTGTTACTTTAACACATAGAGTCACCTTTGATCTGTTAGAGCAAGCAGCTACTCCAACTTCAGGTATCCACACTGCAGTCTGAATAGCTCCAGAACCTATCACAACACTCTGTAATACTGAACCATCCTAAGGAAAGAAGTGGTTTGAGTCAGTGTGTATACACAGCTGCTTTTCAGTTTAAATGCATATAATCACATTCCTAAAGGATCATCTTCTCCCAAGCTGTTCAATAGTTATTTAAAAACTGTAATGTTTATACAAAAAGCAAAAAAATATCTAGTGTCTTTATGATACTAAGGAGATAACATAATTAAGGACTTAGAAATCTTTAAAAATCCACATTATCTGACTCTTGGAAAAGTTCTCAAAGTAAGAGAATATTGTTCCCAACTATAGAGAGTGGCCGGTTCTGCAAAGCCTAACTGACACGACCAAGCCTACAGCATGAATCAATAGTAGAACCATAATACATACAATACTTCAATTTTAAGTACAATTTCAATTTATATTTTATTGTTCATAATTTCATACCATTATTTTAGACCATGCATTCTCTAGTGTTTCTAACATACTGTGGGCAGGGGAAAGCAAGCTAGTCTTGAAAAAAGAATCATGCCACATCAAAGATGATCTTACCCGTAAAGACCAAATATTCATGAGACCACCAAGTCCACCAGATACTAATGCCAGTCCATCAGGACTGAATGCAACGGTCCGAACAGGAGTAATATGTCCTCTCAGTTGAAATACACACTTGACTTCTACTGCTTTTCTGTATCCATCCTGCAAATCATTTCATAGTTATGGAACACAGTTAACTATTTACAGAAAACAGAATAGCACAACAGCTTTTGTATTCTGCAAAATTGATCATAAGTAGAGATGAGGTAATTTCCAGAAGATCAGTCTTTCCAAAAAGACCAATACTATGATCGTATTTTAGAAATCTCTTTATCACATTAACTTTTCTCCCCTTACAAAATGCCATCAGTGTTAAAGACATTACAATTCACCTAAGTGAAATTAATCTTGACTTAACATTATCTAGAAACAATTTTAAACTCTTATTAAATTTTAGGGGTTGGGTTTTTTTTTCCCTGTTCTGAAAATGCCTATGCATATACAAATGTAACACAAACTTTTCTAAGCAAATGTCTTCTCTAAGGAAATGCTGACATTTGAGTAACTTGCTCACACACTTTTCATCCCCAATTTTGAAATGAGAAAAGAGAATTTCTTAAACACCAAGTTTACTCCTTTTACCTTAGCACTTGTTTCTTGGTCCCACCATCCTTCTGAGCAAGTTGAGCTGGACTGCAAAGTGATTTCTATGTCCTGGGGAACGGTCCAGACACACACCAAACCATTGTGGCATCCGCTAAAGGAAGTCAGGATAAATCAGAATTAATATAAAGTGGAAAGGCACGTTCCCAATGGATAAATGCATTATTCCCTAGTCCCCAAACCCCGTAGCTTTTCAGTTTTTACTAACACCATATTCCCCCACAAAAAAATTTGAATGAAACAAGACATTTCAAGCAGGACCACTATACTCAGGTCTCACAGCATGG